GAATCGACGTGTACTGGAGGAGCGTGAGAAGGTTCTTGGACCAGACCATCCGGACACCCTAACAAGTCTCGGCAGCCTAGCCAATGTGCTAGAATCCCAAGGAAAGCACGATGAATCGGAGGCGATGAATCGGCGTGCACTGGAGGGTTATGAGAGAATTCTTGGACCAGACCACCCGGATACCCTAATAAGTGTTAGCAATCTCGCTAGTATGCTTCAAAGCCAACGAAAGTTCGAGGAATCAGAGACGATGAACCGGCGTGCATTGGAGGGGCGCAGTAAGATCCTTGGACCCGACCATCCCAAAACCCAACTAAGTGCCAACCACCTGGCTACGGTCCTACGACTCCAACGAGAGGGTAGCGATTCGGCGACAGTTGAGCGGCGTGCAGGGCGCACTCTGCCAGGAAACCCTATAGATACGCGGCCACAATTTTCTCGCCGTGTCGTCGGTTATTTCCGCCGAAGACTGGCCTTCCGCAAGCGTGACGGCTTGACATAGTGACCCATCACACCGCAGGAGATTTGGCTGTGTTGAAGATTACTGGTGCTCATGTGAATATTTTCGGGAGTCCTGTGGTCCCCAGACTTAAAGTTTTTAGTCTTTACCAATATCTCTTTTGTGATTCGTCTATCTTTATCCTGTGGGTGGTAGTTGACTGGCCTTTCTCGGAGGTTAGTGGTCTTACTCGGGTCTTACTCGGGGGCTCAGATCTCTGCAGGTAGCGGGAAGCATGGGAACTTTGCCTACTCCGGACTTAGTCATTCGGGGTTTAACAGCACTTGGGCGAGTTAAACAGCTGTTGAAATATGGTCATATGGTATTAATTGGTGTTCCTTTTCCTTTCATACTATTTTGGGGATAGAACAGGTGTATCACTTGTCTTAAGCCGATTTAAGTGTCTTCCCAAAAATGCGCGGGAAATTTACCTTAGTTCTGAGTTAGCGTAGCTTTGAATACAAACTTAGAACGACTGATATCGCTGCCTTCATATCATATCACTACCGGCACTGCGACAGTGGCTTGAAAGGTATTTTGTCAAGGAGTTCAATCCAATTTTATCACCCTAGCATCGCCGACCAGGGAATATAGGCAGAAAGGAGCCCGACCGATAGCGAGAAGAAAAGGAGTCATGGTGAAACTCTGTCTTAATGAGAAGTGGGAGATATTTTTCTATATAAACCACCATTGTGCCCGATGGGTGGATAGCCAAAAAGGTATCAGAACATCATGGAGCAAAAGAATAAATCCCGCTTTATTTTCATTCCCCTCATTGTTCCCGCCCCACCCCTATCGGCGACCCATGGGGATTGGTTCCAGTAGAGGTGACGGAGGTGGTTCAACCGGCGGGCGAGATCGCAGGAATCTATGTGGGTAATATCCGCAGACCGGGCAGGAGTACGGAGAATGACAAACGGGAGAGAGGCCATGAGCGGCCAGCTGTTGCATGAAGTGCAGTACGGAAGAAATTGTTAGCCATTTTTACTTTCCTTCTAGCATTTCAATTCCTATTGTCGGTTTTCTCTTTTGGCGATAGGAAATAATGTGTTATGCTTTCTCATCCGATAAGCTCCTTGTGGTCACTAGTCGCTCGTTTCATTTCTTTCAACGGGGTATCATATGATGGGTGCCAAAATACAATTCGAGTTACACACCTACCCGCCCATGCACTACCTACCTCCTAGGCACTGTGCGGACCTACATTCTGAGACATTAAAGGAAGCTCTAATATCGGTACACTAGTCGCCCCCCCCAACCCGGGCCTTCTTCCGCAAACTCACTCATGCCATATCCTCAGCAGGGCCCGACAGTGATTATTTTGAGATCGAATAACCCGAGGCCAGCCTGTCCACCCAGATGCTTTGAATTGCCAGCAGGGCCGTAATTTCCTGTTCTACCCGGCTCTCGCTTTGAACCTTCCGGGCCACATAGTAGAGCCCAAATAATCGTCCCTAGGGTGCGGACTTTATGTAATAGGTCCGGAATAATCACCCTACGAGGTAGGCGTGTCTCCGCAACCCGGAAAATTTGGGTTGTGGGTATATAAGGTGGAGAGATCGGCAGAGGGAGGGCAGGCTCAACACAAGCTTAGGAATTGTAAGATTTATGGTATGGCCAGAGACACCTGCAGTAAGCTATCGAGATGAGCGTTCCCTCTCAATGATTGTCCGGTTGGCTCATAATTTATTCGCAAGATACCATTAAGTATCGGGTAGATGGCGAAGGTGAAACTTCGCACGGTGGCCTATACCAATGCCGGCGGTTCTGTAGCATAATATTACTAATTTTACCTCATGTTGGACGGCCTAATAAACCGTGATACAGGACACGATTTCACTATTGCGCCCGATAGATATATCCGCCAAGTGAAGTAATTATGGTATATAAGGTGGTTGCGCCCGATAAGAACATAGCGGTTGGTTAGCTGAAACCCCGCGAGATTCTCGTGGTGTACGAGTACAGTGCAATACTCAAGTACAGTAGTCTACCGTATGGGATGAACATTGACGATGCAACCTTTTAACCGTCCAATCCTACAAACGAGAGTGGGACAGGAGAGCCAACCATTTAACATGACCAGGCCCAGAGATTTGCATCATGGGGGAGGTCCGGCACGAAGGGGAACGGGGAGTCGGAGTGGGGGAATGTGGGTAGGTGGGTTAGGGGTGGAGGTGAGCTCGAACCAATGGCGGAATGGTGGGGGGGTGTTGGTATGTAGTGCTGGGGTTATTCTCATGTGCTAGGATGGAGGGCTTTGTGTGTGAGAGTGTTAGGGCCCGTTTACCTACAGACGGCCGTTTAGATCATCTTGACGGTGGCAACCGTCAAGGGGCTCTTAACGGTCGGTAGCGTTAGGGGCTGAATTCTCATTCTGTGTTTACCTAACGCACCGTCTACCATACTGCAACCCCTGCCGCACCGTCAGCGAGTAAATCCAAAATTTTACAAAACACCAGGTGAAGGCTCTAGGCTTACAACTCCCAACCTCCTCTCCCATCCAACCATTTCCGGCCGATTAAAACAGTGGACCCAACTTATATCCTCTACATGCCATCTACAATGACTCTCCAAGAGTCCTCCCACCTATTCTAGTGACTCTTTTTTAGCTGTTTTCATACTATAGCTTAAATCTCTCATGGTGCCATGCAAAAAAGATCTGAATGGGAGTCGGCAATGGCTTCAATTCTGATATATTTATCCTAGAGCCACTGGAGCAAAAAAGCATCGGATTTTCAGTGGTGGTATGGCCATTCTGGGCATGACAGGTCCCAGGCATAATGACAATGTATCAATTTTTGAGGCTGACGGTGTTGCTACCGCACCTCTGGAGCACCTTCTCGTTTTGACCGTTAAGCACCCAAAATCCCTGACGGTTGAAAATTAGGTAAACGCATTTGGCACCGTCAGTTGCAACACAACCCTGAGCTAACGGTACCGTCAGAGCCCACCCTACAAATTTCTGTGACGGAACTGTTAGGTAGACGGGCCCTTAGTAGTCATGTATTCCCTTTAGATAGCTGCCTATGGAGCTAGTAAGGGCCCGCTTACCTAACAGTTCCGTTACGGAAATTTGTATGGTGGGCTGGAATGGTACAGGTACTATTAGCTCAGGGTTGTGTTGCAACTGACGGTGCCAAACGTGTTTACCTAATTTTCAACCTTCAAGAATGTTGGGTGCTTGACGATCAAAATGAAAAGGTGCTCCAGAGGTGTGGTAGCAACAGTCAGCCTCAAAAATTGATGCATTGTGACTATGCCTCTAGCCAGTTATGCCCACAATAGCCACACCACTAGTAGCAATCCTCTGCTTTCTTTGCTCCAGTAGTTCTAGTATAAATATATCAGAATTGAGACCATTGCCAACTATCATTAAGGTTTTTGTTTAGCATGGTACGATGAGAGATTTGGGCTATGATGTTAAAACAACTAAAAAAGAGCTACAAGAATAAGTGGAAGGACTCTTGAAGAGCCATTGCAGGTGGTATGTGAGGGATATAGGCTGGGTCCAATATTTTACTTGGTCGGCAGTGCTTGAAAAAGTGAGGAGGGGTTGGGAATTGTGAGTTCAAAAGCCCTCATATTGTATTTTGTAAAATTTTTGATTCACTCTCTGACGGTAAGGCCCATGTTGCAGTATGGTAGACGGTGCATTAGGTAAACACAGAATGAGAATTTAGCCCCTAACGCTACTGACCGTTAAGACCCGCTTGATGGTCGTTTCCTCTCTCATCGACCCACACCTAGTGTTATCAGGGGATGCATCAAAAATAATGCAAGGGGCTGAGACCTGTTTTTCGATCCCGGGAGTTGTATGAGAGAACCCCTTCTGGGGAAAAAATTACCACAAATTACATGGAACTTCCTGGGTATCCGGGCACCGGGGTACCGGCGCTCTCCGAAAGCACAAACCGTCAGCTCCAGGACCCGACTATCTTGACTTCACTAGGGGTAATTTGCTACTCTCTTTCTTATCCTACCACTCTCGCTTGCTAAGGCATAAAGGCACCAGTCTTCAGAATCCCTACTTCCCGAAACCCCGCTTCAACCTCCCTCCCTTCCAACCCCCCGCGTTGGATCACTGGAGGCCTTCTTCTCAACAATGGCTCGAGTCTCGTGTCGCTAGAGTAGTCAGCTGTAAGGGAGCCGCACCGACCGGTTGTAGTTGGTAAAAAAATCGACCGCTGCGAAGGCTTTCCACCGTAGTGCCTGTGTTCGCTATCCTGCAAGTATTAATCCAACGTAATGACCCCATCGAATCTGCATCTAGGCTTTGGAAATGCCCGCTCCGTACTCACGATGTAAGGATTTATACCAGCACAGCAAAAAATTGTCCTCCTCAAGCGCGAGAACTTTGCGGTGATGGGATTGAGGGCCCTTGCCAGGAACCCAGGAAGAGACAAGAAGTGACTCGGCAGTTTCCCATGCTGGGCGAGCTTTGTACAGTGCCGTACCCTACTCGGGCAATAGCAAAGAGCGAACAATCATACCCTGCGCTTTTTAGATTTGAGTGGCTCTTCGCTGAGGGGGGGGGCGGTAGGAGCTTTCTCACACCGGTATGGCAGCATGCTTTGTATTGCCGCACCCTACAGTATTTGCTTGAAACTTGTCAGTAGTGTTCCAAACTCGTACGACTTTCGATGCCACCTGTCCCATTTCCTCTGGGAATTCCCAGCCTCGCTCCCTGACGTAAGCCGGCGGTCTTTTCCATGCGCCCCACCAAACCGTGATCGGTAGGTACTGTACGGTGCACGAGTCTTGTCTTTTCGCAGTTTTCTCGGACTTTCCATGTCTGATCGCTCCATTTCACCATAAAGATGGGGAAACCCCAAGTTGTCGGAAATGATGCATTTTGCAAGGCCTGTTCCAAGGTGGGCCTGAACAACTCTCTTGTACCGTACGAGTACTCAAGAATCGGCATCATTTGGGAGGATCAATTATGTATTCTTAGAGGCTCCGGCTGATAAAGCGCCAGAATTCCAAAATGCACGGCCACGAGTACTGTTGGGTAGGAAAATACTCTGCAGTGATGAGGCCGTTCTTAAATGTGACTGATCGTCTCATGTCTCATGCGGCGGAACGAGACAAGCGCAAAATGTTAGTCACTAGTCAAACCGCGACCGGAGGCCAACTAATCAGTGCTGCATTTCCCAAACCCCGCATTCAGCGCCGTGGTATTGCAATACCAGAGTGTTCCACTTTTCTCTATCCTCTTGCCGGCGCGGACTTCCGCGGCTTTTGATTTCCTGAGATTGAATTTCAATCTCCGCAACCGCCCCAAGGCGTGGTTATTTCGCTCATAGACCCATTCACCACCCTTATGCCAAATCTTTAGGCTTCACCAAATTCGAAGAGCCCGAGCAGGATTACCTCCCGTACCAGTAGCTGCCCCAAAACCGCAGGGCTATTCGCCTCCACATCTAAGGGTGCGTTCCCGGCTTCCCCTCCTACCTTACGTTGCGTTATTGACTTGTTTCGGGGTTTTCGAAAGGATTTTGGGCTGCCTCAATCGGCGAAATAGGCTCTGATACCCGTTTCGGATACGATAGCGGCATCCTATTACTTTCCTACCCGGCCTTCAAAAACTAGTCTAAGAAGTGAGCTGAATACCTGATGGATCGGTGGGCTCCCCTTTCCTTCAATCTCTGCAATTGCAGAAATGATAAGTACTCACCTAATAACCTTCCCAGACAAACCTTAGGCTATATTAGGGGAGACTTTAGTGGGAACTCAGGGGATCATAATGTTCTCGGTAGTTTTAATAACAATAATAACGCATACACTGGTTACCTGAACAATGCTGCAAATCACGGAACAATATATCAAGGATGTGCATTTGGAGTTGAGGGCAGAGGTATTATCAATTTTCTCGGGAGATTTCCGGCAAGGAACTAAGGTGTTGTCACAAGTGGAAGGAGCAAATAGGCCTTATCGGATAATACCCTATCGCAGGAACAGCAGGTTCACTGGCCGCGAAGATCTCATTGAGTCGATAAAGAGGATATCTAGGCACAACAATCACACGCGGATCGCACTTCATGGACTCGGTGGTTCTGGGTATGTAATCAGTACTGTCACTATTATTTCGGGGATTATTAACATTGCTTAGGAAAACTCAGATTGCCCTGGAATATGTCTATAAGTGCGCAAGCGAGATGGATTGCCATGTTTTCTGGGTGTCGGGGAGTGGGGCATTGAAATTCATTGAGGGTTTTAGAGCCATCGCACAGTGTGTTCGAATTCCAGTAGCTAGCGCCGAGATGGACCAAGAGGAATTACTAGCTAGTTTAAAGAGGTGGTTTGAGGGTCCAGACAGTGGCGATTGGATACTAGTTATCGACAATGCCGACAACGAGGAGGACTTTATTGGAAACAGTGGTGCCATCTCCAAACTTGTACCACAAGGCCAAAGGGGTACTCTCATATTCACCACCAGATCACTCCGGGTTGCATCTTGGCAGGATTGCGAAAGGATTGATGTCGGAAAAATGGGGGAGGATGAAGCGACGGCATTGTTTTCGAAACTCTACGGTAACAGGAATAGTTCGAAAGAGGAAGAGAATGAGGCCATCGCATTAATCTTAGGCTCTCTACACCACATACCTCTAGCTATCGTAGGAGCGGCCGCCTTCATGACGGAAACCCAGACACCGCCATCCGCATACTGGGCCATTTTCCAGGAAAGCGACGAACAAGCAAGGAGACTCCTTTTACAGCCATTTTGTGACATACAACGCGAGGCGGATATGACCGAAAGCATCCTAGCCACGTACTTTATCACATTTGACCGAATCTCACGGCAGATGCCCCTGGCGGCGGAACTTTTGCGTTTAATTGCCTTCTTCGATCGTCAGAGCATACCCGAAGAGCTATTGAATGAGAGTGGTTTGGAAGGAACGGATGATCCAATCGAGTTTCGTCAGGCCATTGGAAAACTGTTGGGATTTTCGCTAGTTACATCTGTCAAAACTCAGGACAAGACCCTTTACGAGCTTCACGGTTTGGTCCAGCTGTCTTTACAGGCATATCTACCAACAGAGGAGTTGAATCGATGGCGGGCCAATGCGCTCGGAGTTGTTTCAAGGCTCTTTCCCCAGAATTGGGACTCGTGGGGAGACGTTAGTTCCTCATACATTCCACATGCACTCACTGTAACCAAGCATTCAACCGATCCCATTGCCGAAGAGCTTTGTTGTCGCCTGGGACAGTACTTTATAAATATGGGTTTCTACAGCTACTCGTCAGAAGTGTTCGTGAAACATGCTGTATTAGTAAGCTGCCTCGCCAAAATCACAGTACAACAACTACCTACCTGCAACAATTAAGCTACCTGCCTGCAACAATGAGGATATCCACCAGTGATAGTGAAGATCCAGCAACTGTGAAGTTATTTCTGTAGAGATCTGTGCTGCTCTTTACTTTTTTTTTTTTTTTTTTTAACTTATAATTAGTTAAACATGAAATAGAAAGCACTTGGAATTCAAATAAACTAAAAGAAGATTAAATACATTATGAAAAGAAATGATTAGTACTAAGAAGTTATACAAATTATCAGCTAGCATGTCTACTTCTACTATTTAAATAATTGTTGTAGTTATAATCTATACTATTTAATTACTTATCATTGTAATACATAATAAATCAATCCACTGTTACCTCATAGTCAGATCTTTCCAATTATGCAATCATAATTAGATAGGTCCCAGAGTACAAACACTTCTGATTAGTGGCTGTAGGATATCTTAAACTCCCAAGTATTATTAGTTTAATTATTTTTTAAGCTTAACCAATTTGGATTCAATAGAATCTAAATTAGGGCAATAAGAAAAGTGTCTTTCAAAATGAATGTACTAACAGAGTCATCCTAGAATTTGAGAAATCAGGATAATATTCTAGAGTTAATAGAAAAGGGCAATTGCTATCTCTTCTTAGTATTAATCATTTTTCTACATGAGATCTTTAGTCTTCTTTTAGCTTATTAAAATACTAGTGGCTATCTATTTCATGATTAATAATTATGGTTAAAAAAATCAAAAAAAAGACCAGCACAGAACCCTACAGGAATAACTTTATAATTGCAAGATCTTCACTGGTACTAGTGGGTATCCTCATTGTTGCAGGTAGGTAGCTTTATTACTGTATTATAAGTCGCTGGTTGTTGTAGGATTTTGGTGAGGCAGCTT